TTGCCTAAGCAAAAGCCAAGGATTAATTATATTAATTATGTCTATTAAAATAGCGGGAAGTTCTTTACAGAGAGAGTGGTGAGGTGCTGGAACAGGCTGCACAGAGAGCTGTGGATGCCCCATCCCTGGAGGTGTTCAAGGCCAGGTTGGATGGGGCCCTGGGCAGCCTGGTCTAGCATTAAATGGGGAGGTTGGTGGCCCTGCCTGCAGCAAGGTGGGTTGGAGCTTGGTGATCCTTGAGATCCCTTCTGGCCCAGGCCATTCTATGATTCTCTGACTCTATGAATTCCAACAGGAGTTAACACACATTAGAAGGTTAGTAAACACTCCTGACAGAACATTCACTGAGAAAAACATGCTATCTTGGATACTGAATCTATCCTCCCTTCGGGCTGTCCATGTAATAGATAGTGGATAAACTCAAGACACATACAGGCAGACTGCATGAGATGACTTAGCTGAAGGTAATACAGGTACATATAGAGACTGTTCTTTTAACACTTTTTTCTTGTTCTTCTTTGTTCTTACTACAAAAATTAAACTTTAGATATGTCACTGAACTCATATAAATGGTGATAATTCCTAAAGGAAGGCTTGCATGACCTTAAATGAATTAAACCTGCCATGAGAGGCTGTTTTCCTTTCTGCATCAGACTTTTCAGTGTTCTTCCTGAGCATCTGCAGCAGGAGAGCCCAGCTGAGCAAAGGGGTCAGGCCCTGGGACACTGGGAATTGGAGCACTCACGTCCTCTTTCTTCCTGCACTGAGAAAAGTACCTCAGGGTACTTCTACAACCACGCAGTGTCCTACCAGCTTCTCAGCCTGGAACTGCTCCACTCTGCAGAATGTAACTTCAGCTTACTGGAAGAAAAAGAGCGACTTCATGTTTCAGTTGCTGTGGCACTTGGCTGCTGCAAATGCTTGGGTAAATCTGTATCCCCCTAAATATGCCATTCCTAAACAGCTTCAGCAGAACAGAGAGCCATCCAGAACAACTCTTGGCAATTAAAATAGTAATACAGCCTCCTCTCACTCCCAAAACTGCCTTCCTATCACTACAGGGCACTGAAATCCAAACCAAGCCAGAAGTGGGGCATCACAAGTCTATCACAACACATGCCTGAAGATCTTAGTTTTGGAAAGACTAGAGTGATAATCAGAAGTGTGGATAGGCTGTGAGGGTGTGAGAACAGCCTCACATTTGGGGTATTTTACGTTTTGAAAGTTTTGCTTTTACAGGAAAGGAGTGGGTGGTGTGTAAGGGTGTTCAGAAAGCATGTTGGAATGTAAAATGAGCAAGCTGGAAATGTGGAACATTAAATGAAATTGAATTGGTGACTACCTGAGTTTTACAAATTGTGCTGACAGGTTGCACACTTACTGAGCAGCCGGCTGGGAACTGAGCAGAGCTTTCAGTGCTGGTGTAAACATGAATTGAGTACACATATTCCTTTAAAGCTCAACCCAGCAGCACCACCTCCCCCATAGCCTGAAGTTCTCCTTTATTCATCAGGTTTGCTCAGGAAAAAAACACCTGCAGGGTCATTTCCTTTCACTTTTCTGCCTGTTTTGAGTGCAAAGGTTCGAGAGATCCGTGTCCAGGTTGACAATAAAAGTCTACTCACCCCATCCACACAAGAAGGAACTGGTTGGACATTCACATAGAAATAGGCTTTGCAGCACAAATCTTCCAGTACTTGAAAGGAGCTTACAAGCCCAAGGGGGACCAAATTTTGCACAAGTAGATAGCATAAGGTCAAGGGGAATGGACTTAAACTGGAAGAGGGGAGGTTTAGGTTAGGTGTTAGAAACAAATTCTTCACTCACTGGCACTGTGAGTGAACTGGCACAGGTTGCCCAGACAAGTTCTGGATGCCCCATCCCTGGAGGCATTCAAGGCCAGGTTTGATGGGTTCCTAGGCATAGTGGTTGGCAACTCTGCCAAAAGCAGGGAGATTGGAACTAGATGATCTTTCAGGTCCCTCCCATCCCAAGCCATTCTGTGGTTCTATGCTATAGCATCTGGTTACAAACAGCATTTAATGGTCTCTACTGGAGGGAAACCACTAATTCTAATTAACCAGTGTCACTTTTAATTCCCCAGCATCATCCATGAAGCTGTGAGACGATCCTGATTTTGCAGCCTAGATCTTTTTCTCAAGTTTCATAGATGAGATTATTCCACAAACACTACCAAATTGCTACAGATCCCAAACCCTCACTCACATTATAAATAACAACTATTCTGAGGAAATTAATGTGTGTAAAGCAAACAGCAATTGGTCTTTAATAATAACAACATTCAGTCACTTTCCAGCACCTGGGACATTAAGCCACGTTACCTAAGGATTACAGAATCAGAGCTATGGAATGCCCTAGGGTGGGAAGGACCACTGGGGAGCACTCAGTCCAACTGCCATTAAAGAATGGCCTTCTTCAAAGTGCAGATGTCCTCCTAGTCTTGCCCACATGGATTTTGAATTTAACCAAGAATGGAGATTTCACTGCCTCTCTGGACTCATTTCAAATCTTGTCTGCTGTCCAGGTGAACATTTATTTCCTAATTTCTTACTGGAATATCTAATATTTCAACTCACATCCAGTGCATCCCGTCCCATCTCTACGTACCTCCAAGAAAAGTTTGCCTCCCCCTTCTCTACACCCTCACGCAAGGCTGCTGGAGACAGCACTAAGATTCTTCCCTTTACCTTCTCTTTTTAGAGTGGAAAAACTCAACTGTCCCCCTCCTTATACATCAGAAACCAGTCCAGTCACCATTGTGATGACCTTCCATTGGACTACTTCCAGATTGTCAGCATTGTTTACAGAGGAAACCCAAACTGGACACGATATTCCAAGAAGTGTTGGACAGCAGGAATAATTACATCCCCTGACCTGTGGGCTACACTCTTCTCCATAGCATCTTTGCCCAGGATGCAGGCTGCTACTTCTCACCAAGGAAGCTACCCAGTCCTGCTGCAAAGGGTTGCATAGGGTTCTTCCAACCCAAGTGAAGAATTCTGCATTTCTATATACATTTTATACATACATATATATATATGTGTGTATTTGTCTCCAATTTCTATTTTCAATTATACTCAACCAACCCATTCAACTCCAGAATCTGCTAATACATATTTTTAAAAGTTCAGTAAGTAAGATCATGAAAACAGGAATAATTTTTTCATTAGGACATAATGTAGCTTTACTTCTTCAGATTTAATACATTTTAATTTCCATTTCCCTTTAAATGTAATTTTTGTATTTGTTCCTGAAGCAAAGAATAACAACATATTTTCTATAATTTGTGGTTAATTCTGTGAATTATGGGCTTCATCTGATCCTCCGGGAAGGACCCACACTACAAAAACCTCTCAGTGCCAGCAGTTGCTAAGTGTTCTGATCAGTTGAATGATAGTCAAGGACATCTGGCACCTTGCAAACCCGGAATTTTAAATCAGGAGGCTTTTATGAAAGCGCACAAACCTCATCTGTCCTCTGAATCGTAAGTACAGAAACTAGCCATTCCAAATTGGCAGTATTCATGTGTACAAAAGACAAAATAACAATCTCTCCCCCAAGAAGATGGCAGTATACTTCAGAAATCATGTTACAATCCCTAAGGCTGCATCCCTTTTATCAACTAAAGCAGACCAGCTCCTATTTCCTGACTCCGAGGACAAATGTCACAGCACAGCATGAGTCTGTATGGGCAGATCCCCCTTCCACCAAAACAAGGTGACCGCTTTCAGATCTCTCACTGGACTCGGGGCTTTCCCCACGCTGCATTCTCAACCCCATTTAGGGGCCGTCTGTGAGGCTGCCTTTAAACAGACTGCACAGCACGCACAGGGTACACCTCACAGCATCACCTTCATTTGGGTTTTCTCTCCCGACTCTCAGAAAGTGCAGTTCATCAGCAAGTGCCACTGCTCCCATTTCCTATTACTGGTGAAATTTCCTCTTCCCACAGAGCTGTCCTGCCAATGCAGGCAGCAGGTGCTGTGTGTTGGCACCTGCTCTTGTCCCAGCCATGTGCCCGTGCCCGGTGACAGCAGCTCCTACCTGGAAGCCCTTCGAAGCCCTCAGTGGGGCAGTCCGGAGCAGCAGTGTGCCCGCGCAGGCACAACCCTGCCGAGAGCTGCCCAGGCTGGAGCCTGCATGGAGCTGGTGAGCAGGAAACCTGCTCGGTGCATCCCTATTCTGCTTTCTGCTCCGAGGCCCAGAATCCCGTTTCTCATCTCAGGCAGGTGAAATGCCCATGCACTAGTGAATAGCAATAGCAAAGAGAGAGATTACCGCTAAGAAAGGGCTCGCCGATTGCTAACAAGTTAGGAAACGCCAGAGCAGAAGTTCTCAAAGAAATAATCCCTCGACACAGACAAGCAGAACCACCAGCTGGTTTGTTTCATACAGATTCTATGAAAGCCGTAACATTGCCATGACATTCCCCAGCAGATTTTCAGAAGGACCCGGGTACAATGCAACACGCACGCTAACTTTCTCCCTTTGCTATCCACCCTACGCCCCACCGCGGGGAACCCCCACCCCCAGCGGCCCCGGCGGGGACAAAACCGCATCCCGCATCGCGCATCCCGGCTCGGCTGCCCGCGCCTCCCGGCTCCGGTGGCGAGGCGAGACCGGCGCCGTGCCATGACTAAGCACCCGGCCCGGGGCACTCACCTGCCCGCTGCCGGCTCCTCCGCCGCCGCTCCGCGCCCGTCGGCAGCGCCGCCTCGATCCGCTCCGCGCTGCTCCTCGCCGCCCCGATCCGCTCCGCCGGGGGGAGCCGCGGAGCCGCCGCGCCCGCGGAGCCGCCGCTCCGCCGCCGCTCCGCCGCCGCCGCCGCCGGGGCGGGCGCGGGGCCGGGGGGTTGCCGTCAGCCTGCGGCTGCTGACGCACGGCTGTTCCTCCCGGGGATGAAGACCCCGGCGAAGGGCAGCGCGGAGCGGCGAGGGGCGGCCGGGGGCTCTGCGCGCTCGCGGTAGCACCGAGCACCGAGGAGTCCCGGTGCCCAGCGCGGTGGCATGGACCGCCAGCTCAACATCAGCTGCCTCGGCGGTGCGACGCCGGATGCCAGTAACTGGAGCGGGTCATCCAGCGGGCTGGAGGGCGGCAGGGCACAGCTCTCCGTATTCAGCGTGCTTGTCCTCACCCTCCTGGCCATGCTGGTGGTGGCCACTTTCCTGTGGAACGGCTTGGTCCTGGCCACCATCTTCCGCGTGCGCACGTTTCATCGGGTGCCCCACAACCTGGTGGCATCCATGGCCATCTCCGACGTGATGGTGGCGGCCCTCGTCATGCCCCTGAGCTTGGTGCACGAATTATCGGGGCGGCGGTGGCGGCTGGGTCGCTCACTGTGTCAAGTGTGGATCTCCTTCGACGTTCTGTGCTGCACTGCCAGCATCTGGAATGTCACTGCCATCGCCCTCGACCGCTACTGGTCCATCACCCGGCACCTGGAGTACACGCTGCGCACCCGGCGCCGAATCTCCAACATCATGATCGCGCTCATCTGGGTGCTCTCTGCCTTCATCTCCCTGGCCCCGCTGCTCTTTGGCTGGGGAGAGACTTACTCAGAGGTCAGTGAGGAGTGCCAGGTAAGCCAGGAGCCTTCCTACACCATCTTCTCCACCTTCGGGGCCTTCTACCTGCCTCTGTGTGTGGTGCTGTTTGTCTACTGGAAGATCTACAGGGCGGCCAAGTTTCGCATCGGATCTCGGAAGAACAACTCCATCACCCCCGTCTCACCAGAAGCCCTGGAGGTAGGTCACCTGGCTTGCATTTTGCTCTAGGGAGTTCTTAGGAGCAACAGGGCTGAGCTGCACCCAGGGTGTGAAGGAATGGGATCCCAACACAGCTGGGAGGATCAGCTGTTGAGCAAATGGGATTTGAGGAGGGCCTGGATTTACCCATGCAAAACATGTTTGCAAATCCTTCCTGGATTGTGTCAGTTGGTCCTGAGAATGGTGATTGTGCACTATAAAGGTTTCTTGAGGGGAAAGAAGGAGAAGTATTTTAACTGTCCCACTTTCCTTATTAAGAACTCTTGATGTGTTTGGAGAAAGCAAGACTTGTGTGCATGGCATGTGGTTGTGTGCCTCTTTCGCTGATCCGATCATAAGCGGGGAAATAATCTTGTGATATGTGAGCAATTCTATGCACACATATGTCCCTATTGGCTCAGGTCACCCACAAAAGGGTCACAGCCCCAGCCTCGCTCCAACCTAAGCATGACGTAGATGGCTTGCATTTCCCCGTGCCTTGGCTGCATACCCACTGTGCAGGATCAGCCGGCCGAGACGCATACAGTGTGACTTGTGTTTGTCTTTGGCAGATAAAGGAAGCTGCCCAGCAGCCACAGATGGTCTTCACTGTCCGGCACGCCACAGTTACGTTCCAGACAGACGGAGACACGTGGAGAGAGCAGAAGGAGAGGAGAGCTGCCCTCATGGTGGGCATCCTCATTGGAGTCTTCGTGCTCTGCTGGATTCCCTTCTTCATCACGGAGCTCATCAGCCCACTCTGCTCCTGCGACATCCCGCCCATTTGGAAGAGTATTTTTCTATGGCTAGGTTATTCCAATTCCTTTTTTAATCCCCTCATTTACACTGCTTTCAACAAAAACTACAACAATGCCTTCCGGAACCTATTCTTTAGACAGCACTGAGCAAGAGAAGCTTTCTCTGCCCCAGGAGGCTATTCTCAGCTCTCAGTGGAACCTAACAAACTCCTGAGGGAGCTGAGAACCACAACTGCGGTGATGCTAAGGATGTGTCCCCATGGGTACGTCCCAGCAATGGTCCCCATCCCTATGCAGTTGCTATTTTTTCATGAAGCAGCATGAAAGCAGGTTTCTCTGGCCAGCAGCAAAGAGTTCTGCCTCCAGTGCCCCACTGCTTTCCTCCTCCCTTCACAGCGATGCTCTTGGGACATTGAGGTGGCAGTGATGGCTTCTGGTAAAGGTTCCTATTTGAAACTCTGGTGTGGCCCACTGCTGGTCTCCTGGAGCATTAATCAGCTTTGTCCCATGTGCAAAGCTGGGAGCCTTCAGTGTCAGGGCAGTTGGTGACTATGGATGAAACTCGATGTTCCTGGCTTGGTTGAACAGACTGTTATAGCTTTCCCTGGTAGAGACTGTCAAGTGTTTGTATTTGAGAGGTAATGTCCTTGTTAAAGGGTTAAAAGCAGAGTCCCAACTACAATGCCCTTTTTCACATCGACGACAGATTGTGCTATTTGCTATTCTGTTCCATGTAGCAGGTTTATAAAAAATATATTTATTGTGAAAGCTTAGTGCATGGTATATACTGGAATGAGAAATAATGCATGGGAAATCCACCTGTCTCATTGTCTAACTGATAAGCATCTGCTTCAGACTTTTACTTTCCAAAACCCCAGGCCTTCCTGGGCTGTGAATGTTAAACTGTGTCCGTGTTTGCCATTCTAAATCACAGATGTATTTTGAGCAGATGTGGGGAAGGTGTGTATTTCAGATTTCCCATCAACGTGGAGCTGTGTATTTGTATTTATGAGTGTGATTCAGGTTCACTTGAGTCAAAGCAAAGACCCCATTTAATTTCCATGGGCACTGGACTGCAGATACAAGGCAGTTAATGATGGGCACAGTTTCATTCTGAAAGCAGAACCAACCCATAAATGTGCTCTGCTGTGAGGCCCAGATTTGAGTAATTCTTTTACCCCTCTATGGTTATTCTGCCTGGTTGCTCTGTGGCCTCCCTGCCTTCCCTTGTTGCCCACATTGTTGTTGACATTTCATTACTAGAATTAGAATTATGCACTTTTTGTACTGTGCTGCTGAAAGACTGACAGGCCTCCAGATAAAGAACAGCATTATTTTTAACCATCACTTCTTTAGGGGCAGCCACTGAAATCAGATTGGAATTGGAATGACATGATTTGGTGTCAGATCTTTCAAGAAGAAAAGATAAAAGGGAAGAATGTCTATAAATCATGGGAAAGTTCTCTCGTGATGGATAGGATTAGTTCTTATCTTTAGTGGATCACGAGACATCAGAAGTTAAAATTGTCACTGGTCCTTTAAACCAGTCAAAAATCCTGTTAGAATTGTTAAAAAAAAAGCCATTTTTCTTTTCATATCTTGAGACAAGTACAAATGGAAGCAGAGCTCAAGGTGCTACCAAGCCTTGCAGCCCTTTCAGGGCCAAACATCCATCAGGAGTGACACAGATGCAGCTGATCTGCCTCCAAGCAAGAAGAGAGATAAGGTGGCCCTTGAGATCTTTTTCAACACTACTTTATAAAAGTCTGTTCAAAATGTTAGGTAAAACCTTACCCTCCCTGAAGGCAGTGGACAACTTCTCAATGAATTCAAGTGAATTGGAGTTTACCCAATGTCTTGTCTTGTAAAACCATAGCTTTAATGTTAATTAATTCAAGAAAATGGGCAGAATGGGAACAATCTTCTAATTCCCTGAAACAGTCCTTGCTCTGCACTAGGCAGGGACCAACCTCCCCACAGCTAGTAAAAGACTATTTCAATTCTTTATTACGTGAGGTAAGGCAATGATCTCTCTGGTGTATCAAAAATTGTGATAAACTCTTGAGCTGCTATTCTTGTGAAGGTATAAAAGTTACACTGCTTTCTCTGGACAGCTCATCACCAATGCAGAGTTGCACTTCTGGGAAACTTAAGTGCTTTTGTTGTGTGAAGGGCTGTTCATCCAGAAATGAGCTGGAAAAGTACTTCCTTATCCAACCATATTCAACTGAGGTAGTGGGAACGACACAGTCTTTTTCAGCAAAGCCTGTAAGCAGAAGATGAATATTTGCTTTGTCTGAACAACACTCCTCCAAAATACAATCCATACACTTCTAAAACTATCACAAAATCATAGAACCATTTGAGTTGGAAGTGACCCTTAAGGCCATCTAATCCAACTGCCTGCAGTGAACAGGGACACCTACAGCTCCATCAGATGCTCAGAGCCCCGTCTGACCTTGGGTGTCTCCAGAGATGGGGCATCCACCACCTCTCTGGGCAGCCTGTGCCAGTGCTTCACTGCCGTTATCATAAAAAACTGCTTTCTTACATCCAAACTAAATGTCCCCTCTCTAGTTTGAAGCCACTTCCCCTTACCATAGACCCTGCTAAAGAGTCTGTCCCCTTCTTTCTTACGGCCCCCCCCAAGATATTGACAGGCTCCTCTCAGGTCTCTCTGGAGCTTTCCTTTCTCCAGGCTGCACAGCCCAGCTCTCTCAGCCTGTCCTTGTAGGAGAGGTTTTCCATCCCCAGGCTCATTTTTGCAGCCCTCCTCTGGATGTGCTCCAACAGGTCCATGTCTCTCCTGTGCTGAGGACTCCAACATCTGGATGCAGTACCCCAAATGAAGCATGTCAGATCTTCCTTAGGTCTGAAACACAAGAAATATCTTTGAGCTAAATACTGTCAGGTAAACATTACTCCAAATATATGATGCTAAATGCTTAGATGTCTATGTCTCTGGTATCTTCCTGCTTATGTCACCTTTTTAATTTTTAGTCCACCATGGCAACAATTTCAGCAGAGAAGCACGGACTGTTTGGGAAGTTGGATGTTATCCCACTGTTTTAACGAAAACCATCATGTTTACACAACCTCATGGCTGTGTCTGTCCCCATTTTAATTTGCTATTGGATGAGTAGTTCAGAATCTTTGTCATTCTTGCAGTGGGATTCTTGCACAGGCCATGGAATAAACTGCACATAGTTATGGACATAGTTGTGGGTAGTCCAATGTCCTGGTGCAAAATGCATCCACATCTATGTGACAACGCACATCCCATACAATCCTTACTGATCTTCTGCAAATAGCAGCTTCCAGCTGGTCCTGAGTCTTGTTCCTCTAGTTCTGCACGTAATTAGTGGCTCCATTATGGGCCAATTCCTACAGCTTGAGGCTTAAGACCATTGGCTTTTCTTCTAAATACCATTTCTGCAATGTAATGTGATAACACAAAAAAAATATCAGTATTTCAGAAACTGTGCTGAAGATTCACATCAAAACATGCGGCTGTGATCAGAGCATGTGAAGGAGCATAAAGAAGCCTTGACTTCTGATCCCAGCTCTGAGGTTTTTCACAAAAAGCTATTCAGATACATGTGCCGAGCAGGCTCCCGGGGACCCAGACCATGTTTAAAGACATACATAACCCCAGCTTCAAAGGATGTGTCTTGTACCTTCTTGTTCCCATTTATTAAACAGAGTCAGTGGTGTGAAGAGATCTACCTCGCTGAGGGTTTGTGGGGATTAATTAGCAAATGTTTATCATGTACCAGGATGTGGAACATTCTGCTTTGAATGCCAAGCTGCATTAAAAAATTGGGCTCCTGTTTAATTTCTCAGAAGAACTTTATTACCCATTATTATTGACTTCCCTATGCAATTTTAATGGCTGTATAATACTTCCAGAAAAGATTTAACTAACCTTCTACACCTCTGATTAATTCATTTCCCTCTTGGTGCCCTGACAGCTCGACAAACATCTGCATGGAGCTGCTGGATGCAGCAGCCATGCAGTGCTGTGTGCTGCCTGCTCAACGTGTCTCTGGTCAAGGTCCAGGGAGCAGCAGCTCTCCAGGCAGCATGCTGCCCCATTTCTGGGTATTTTAGGGAACGGTCATAAAAGAACTCCATTGAATTAAATGGCAGCTGGCTGAGCACCTTCCTGCTGCGCTCCTCAAGGCAGGCACTCAGGTGACGTCAGGATGCGCACTGATCCCACGCAGCCAGGTGACTTCACTTTCCATTAACTCACCTGGATTTTTCCTAAAGATTACTTCTGAGAGCTGCAGCCTTTAAACTGGTGCTGACAGCTCAAACTGGTGGGTTCATGGTAGTAAAGTTGCAGACAATTAAGGAGATGTCAGCTGACAAAGGTAATTAATGGCTATTAGTTCCAGCAGTCACTGCGGTGAGGTGCAGCTGACAGAGCGTCAAAGTGATTGTTGTAAAGTAGTGATTTAGGCTGCTTTGTGCATGAGGGGGCACGTCACCATCTTCCCCTTTACTGTACCCACAGAACAGGTAGCAGACCCACAGGGATCATAACGTGGTGCCACAAATGCTCCATGTGGAGCAGTGGGGTAAAACACCTCTGGCAAAATCTATGTCCCCACTGCAGTATGTTGAACATCACCAACCTGCCAGAATAGGCCTTGACTTTAAAGGAGGTGGCCAAAGATCTATTTAAATCGTTGTTATTTTCACTAACACCTGAGTGCAGAGGACTGGATGAGAGCTGAAGTTGTGCCGGTGCTTTAAAAGGGCAGATGGAGAAAGCCAAGTATTCATAAGGCTAATACTGTTACTGATTTACAGCTGGAAATTGATCCTTGGCAAAAATGTGGAATAGCTGATAAAGGACTCAATGAATAAAAAATTACAGGAAATAAATATAATTAAAATAAATCACGTTGATGTCTTTCTTGGTCTGCAACACGTGGTTCATTGCAAATGGTGATATTAAGTATTCATCCCTTGGTAATGAACCTGGCTTGGTGACACTCAATACTTCCATGAAAAAGTGAAGAAGAAATCAATGTGTGGTTCAAACCGCCCAATATTTGCTAATTGCTCATAGATTGGAAAAGGTGTAAATATGACCTCACTTGTACTGGAAAATGAGGGTGAAAGTAGGTCAGGGGCAGTACGGAAGGAGCTGAACAGGTTGATCTATTCAGAACATATGGGTGTATTTACTGCCTGTGCATGGTTTGCATCCAGGAATGGATTTTAAGCTGGCCGCTGCAGGGGAGGCTGCAATTTCAGTTCATTGGATCTCACTGCTTCTCTTGCATGCAGCCAGAATCAGCTGTGCAGCCTCAGTGCAACTTCCCATGCTGGGCAAATCCAAGGCTTCCCCTAACCACATCCCCCAGTCACCA